GAGCAAGCCGGCCTCATCAGCCAGCAGTGGCCTGAACGTTTCGTTAGAAGGACAGAGGCAAAGTAAACGTTAACTCAGAAAATACTGGTTTAAAATTGATCACAAATACAGTTGTAAGCCCCAGGCACCCCAGATCTCAACGAGTAACTTTCTGGGCTCTGAGAGCGTGTGGTCTGATGGTGCCTGTCACGCGCTTGCACAGCTCAGGTCAGGGTCTCACCCGAGGAAGAGACCGCAGGGCAGTGACTCCCCTCTCCCCTTCCCCCACCCATATCTAACGTGATGCCCAGTGTGGGGAAGCGGGGGAGTACAACAGGTTTGCTTTCTTTGAAGCTTCAAATAAGAGTGAGTTGCATCTTAGAGAAAAGTCGGAGGAAGAGTTACTGGGAGATCTGCTCCCATGCACGGGCAGCCCCAGCCCAGGCTCCTGTCTGGCCCCCACTCCCTCCTGCGGGACCCGCGGTGGTCTTGCTGAGCGGGCCCCCCGGAGTCCCGGCCGGTCGTGGTTGTCCCCGTGGGGCTGTGTGGCCGGGCCCACCGCCCTCTCTGAGGAGTCCTGGGGGCCAGGGAGCCGAGGCCGAGATTTCCTTGCTGTAAGCCCGCGCCACCATCGCAGCGCCCTAGGCTGTGAAGTGTCCTGTCCGCCCAGCCAGCGCGGGCGCCCTTAGCCCCCGTGGCTCTGAGCACCTGAAGTGGAGCCGGTGCAGCTGGGAACTAGATTGTTAACTGAATCTTAGCTAATTTAAGTGTGGATCCTTCATGGGGCTACTCGTGTGGACAGTGCGTTCTCATCTAATATTAATATCTCGTTAACCGCGCGTGTGGGTTAAGGTTCCTTTGGGCTCACGTGGGAAATCTGACAGGGGTTTGGGAATTGGGGGCTGGCTGTGTCCTAAAAGTTTCATGAACGCTAGTTTTAGTCAAATGAGTTTACCTGTGTTTAGGATCTACCCTTTGATAATTATTTACATAGTAAAGAATTGCCTCATTATAAAGGCCAGTAGTTTTATTTTGTTTGTGCTACATCAGTAGTGTTTACTGTTTTGTTCATCTTACCTCACGGCTGTACAGACTTTGGGTTCAAGTGAGTTTTATGTCACATAAAGCTGAGAGCTAGCCTGCTGCCCATCAGACAGCTCATCATAAGCCAGTGCCCGACACGGGCTGGAGGGAGGTGGCCACGTGTGAAATGGGACAGCCTCTGTGGCCCTGCCAGGCTTCCTGGAGAGTGCTGAATGCAGATGTCTCAGGAGGCTTTCCCTAAAACCGTGAGCGCAGCGCCTGAGCTGTTTCCCAGTGTCCTCCACCGCCAAGCCTCGTAGATGGGCTTCTTGGTAAAGTTAAATCAGAATGTGTGGAGCGGAGTGGTGGTGGATGGAATTCTCCCAGCAATTCTGTGGACTTTATCCTCATTTCTATTTTCTCACTTGCCATGTGTCCCATTTTAAAGGGTTCTAATGTATGGGCAGGTGTTACAGACTCATTATTACTCAAAAGTAGTTGGAAAAACTAAACTGCATACTTGCTAAACATTAGTTGGCCTTAGGTTTTTTTTCCTTAAATGGAGCTGTCCTCACCTTGGAAGTAAAAGTAACACCTAGTAATAGGCTTTATTTTCACACAGAAAAATTCAACCCCCTTGGTCCCTCTTTAATTTTCCCATTTGTGACAAAAATGAGTATGATAAATTTTCTGCTTTCCATTGGACTCTAAGAAAAATACTGGGTTGGCCAAAATGTTCGTTTGGGTTTTCTGTAATATCTTATGGAAAAACCCGAACGAACTTTTTGGCCAACCGATAGCCGCAGAGCTGTGTTGAGTAGTGGCAGCTGATGGTCTCACCGTGGGAAAGAGGGCATCCCTGGCCCTGGTGTTCCCTGCCCCCCATCCATAGACTTCCGTGGCCAGCTGCCTCCTTGAGATCTCCACCAGGAGGTCTCATGCGCCCTGCTCGACGCCTCGCCAGAAGCAGAAGTCCCAGGAGGCACACCCGGGCCCCCGGCCTTCCTCTTCCTGGTGCCTCAACCTTCCCTGGTCACCTTTCATTCAGCGCCGCTGGCTCTGCGTCCGGAGCATCCCTGAGCCTCTTCTGCCCACCCTCCCTCCCACCGCCCTCCTCCGGGCTCCCGGCAGAGCCTCCCTCCCACCTGCCTTCCAGCCTGTGTCCTCCCCTCCTCCCTACAGCATGTCTGCTCTTGGCACCATCAGGTCACGCCTCCCTCTGCTCATGATGACGGCTAGTCAGGCCTGTAGACCAGACTCCCTCCAGACAGGAGGGGCGTCCCGGAAGAAGGGGAACTACCCGTGTAGAGTTCTAGGGACTTAACACATTCTCACTGTCTCCTCAGCACTGCTGTTGGCAGCAGGGATTAGCATCCCTATTTTACACGTGGGTCACTGAGGTTGACAGGCATGAAGGCATAGCCAAGTCCTTCCTACGGCAAAGCCAGGATTCCAGTGCAGAGCTCCCTCTGTGAAAATAAGTTCTTTTTATTATGGAATAGCTGCCTGCAAAGGAAGATAGGGAAGAAAATGCTCAGGAATAATGCCTCTAAGATTCTAGGGTGTTGGTTTATCTTTTATGTGCTTATTTTGCTACTCCCCATAGTGATTAGCGCCCAAATCCTTAAAATGCAAAGTTCCTGTCTTTTTAGGAGGCAACAAAAAGTGCAAGAACTTGTGGACACTTTCCCTGTTCATGTCTGAAAAGATAAGGAAGGGAAGTTATAAACAAAAGAGGTTAGAAAAATAAATGGAAAGCCAGGAGTTATATGAATTTGCTGATAAGTAAAACCAGAAAACAGTGTGTCATAGGAGCTGAGGAAGGATTGTGTATGGGTGTAGTGAACACTGTCATCATCATCACCATAGAGTAAAAAAGAATATGAGAGCTGAGACCAGGATTTAGCAAGTGGTTCGTCGGTTTAGGTACTAACTAGTAGTATGGAATAGGGGATTAAAATGTTTGGATCTAGAGTCAACCATATAAACTCTGACATGTTTTCTATGGTTTCATTGGTAATACTTGCTAACTTACAATTACGTGTGAAGAAGTCATCCCTGCTTTATTTTTTTAATATACTTTACGTTCATTTTATTTTTTTATGTAACCCTGAAAAGGTACCTTTATTTCGCTTTTCTCCTTCTTGATCCTTATATATTTTCCGTGTGTCTCCTGATAATCTTTCATGTCTAGAGGCTTTATTTCACCTTACTAGCGCACGATTGCCCTCTAGTGGCCAGAAGCCTGGCTCACTTAGTACCCAAAGTAAGTAGAAAATGAGAGTGAGCCGTTCTTTCCATCGGTTTTCTTGGCCGGAATGCTTTGAGGCTCTTGTTGCTAATGATTGATTCTGTAGCTTGAACTAAGGAAAATGACTGGGATTTTCATCATTTCCACACATTCAGCTTGTTGACCTTAGGCCACTCACTTAATTTCTCTTTTTTTTGTTTTGTTTCCTGTGTGAAACTGGGATTATAAACGTTGATTAATGTTAATCAAAAAGTTTATTCTTAAAAGCAGTCAACCTTTAGGATGAATCTAAGGTATTTAAACTTCCCTGCTATATCCCAGATCTTTCC